TTAGTATTAAGGGTACATTGTTCAGACTAGTCATTATTTTCTTTTAGTACTGTGTAGTATTAAGGGTACATGGTTCAGACAGTCATTATTTGTTCTTTTAGTACTGTGTAGTATTAAGGGTACATTGTTCAGATAATCATTATTTGTTCTTGTAGTACTGTGTAGTATTAAGGGTATGTTGTTCAGACAGTCATTATTTGTTCTTTTAGTACTGTGTAGTATTAAGGGTACATTGTTCAGACGGTTATTATTTGTTCTTTTAGTACTGTGTAGTATTAAGGGTACATTGTTCAGACAGTCATTATTTGTTCTTGTAGTACTGGGTAGTACTCAGACAGTTGTTATTTGTTTTTATAGTACTGTGTAGTATTAAGGGTACATTGCTCAGATAATCATTATTTGTTCTTGTAGGTTCTGTGTAGTACTGAGGCTTGATTTTTATCAAGTAATAATATAGAAAATATATAAAATTATTCTTGCACAGCTTGTCAGCTACCTTCTGTGGTATTTTCTTACCTTCAGAAAACTTTATTGTCATAATTAGCAGTGTTAGTAGAAGCAAGGGTGTTGAATTGAATTTGTATTTTCACAATGAATTATTGAATTAGTTGCTCAGTCTGTGAATCATATATCATTCCTAAAGGTTTACTTGATAGCCTTTGTGTAAAATAATAGTACTTGTATATCTGACGTGCAGAATATAAAATGTGTTGAATGATATTACATACTCTACTGAATAATTGCGTTTGACTTTCTTGCCCTGATCCTGATATTGTCTGGTAATGCGTACAGGACTGTTCGAATATTCAGCTTTCTGGTGCTTAAGGGCTGTTATGTTTGAGTTTGGTGGTATACTGCTCACACATTCTGATGATTATACAGAGACTTATTGTGTTTGACTTTGTGGATAAATTGTTGAAATTTTCTAGTGCTTATATACACATGATGTGTGTGACTGTGGGTAAAGTATTGAAATTTTGTGGTGTTTATATACACAGATGTTGTGTTTGACTCTGGGTAAAGTATTGAAATTTTCTAGTACTTATATACACAGATGTTGTGTTTGACTCTGGGTAAAGTATTGAAATTTTCTAGTACTTATATACACAGATGTTGTGTTTGACTCTGGGTAAAGTATTGAAATTTTGTGGTGTTTATATACACAGATGTTGTGTTTGTCTCTGTGAGTAAAGTATTGAAATTTTGTGGTGTTTATATACACAGATGTTGTGTTTGACTCTGGGTAAAGTATTGACATTTTGTGGTGTTTATATACACAGATGTTGTGTTTGTCTCTGTGAGTAAAGTTTTGAAATTTTCTAGTGTTTATATACACAGATGTTGTGTTTGACTCTTTGGATAAACTGTTGAAATTTTCTAGTGTTTATATCAGGCCTTGATAAATATTTTTAGATCTAGGAGACAGGTGTGATATAGAAAAGTTATGGAATATATTTTGAGTTGGTTGTGTGGTTATGGTATGCAACATACAGGTTTATACTAAAAAAACAAAGAGTTCATAATTAAACGTTATTATTATATAACACATATTAAAGTTTAACTTCCATATGTGCAATTATTAAAATAGTAGACTAAATAATTATAACTTAGGTAGATTCTTGCAATGAATGAAAGTAAAATAAAAATAACCACTGTGATATCAATAGGCCAAGCAGGTTGTTGCAGAATAAGTTTAATCTACTCATCACTACAACACTGTACAATGATAAACAAAGGCCTTTTGGTGTGCCTAACCTAACTTCACTACAGTTTGTGTCGGGAAATGGGGCTATACTTATTTACTTTCACATCTACGAGTGCATGCTAACAATCACATGATATCAACAACCACATGAGAGTATTGCCTGAACTTAACTGCCTTTGATCCTGTCTGAGTCAAAACAGATGCAATGATTGATTGAATTGAGAGAAAGAAGAAACACAAAATTGTGCGAAATTAGTAACGTATTTTGCAACCACAGCACTTCTTTCCTCTAAAAACATGAAGTGCTGAATCTGCCATTAAAATTCTAGAAACAAAGTTCAATTTAGGACTCAAAGAACTTGAAAATAGTTCTGGATTTCCAAGAGTCCAGAATTGTTCTAGATTCAAGTTCTATTTACCACATCCCTATGCATGAATAAAATGGGAGAAAATACTAGTTGCAATGATGACATTTTTAGTTGACCTGGTGCCAGGGATTTGTCAAGGCCTGCTTTATATACAAAGATGTTGTGTTTGGCTCTGTGGGTGAAGTGTTGAAATTTTCTGTCATTTATATAAACAGATGTTGTGTTTGTCTGTGTGTGTGTGTGTGTGCTCTACTTAAAGCTGGGAGATTAATCTATATAACAAGTTACCTATGAGCATCAATTACATTGATTTGTGTCTAGTAAACTAATCAATTAATTGAAGTCAGTTTCCAGTTGTTACTGTTTTTGATTATTGAAACTATACAAGTAATCTAAGTATTGCTATTATGATATCTGATTATTGTTTGCGATTAATTCAAGGTTCTTCATCAGTTATTTTCACTACTTGTGGAAAATCAAATAATCAAAATCAGTGTTTCTAATTGCTACTATTTTCAATTATTCCTATCATTCAGGTCTCATAAGAATAATCTATTAGTAAAATCTACTAATCACACAGCTCTATTGTCCATGGTTTCTTGTATTCATTTGCAGAACTGAATATAAGATTTGATATATTGTTGACACTTTCTGGTGTTTACTTACAGAATTATTGTAGTTGCCATTTTTGATGTAATGTTTTCAATTTCTGGTTATTGTATATATAGAATTTTTGTTTTTTGCTCTATTGATTTAATTGCTTCTTTTGTACAGAAGTACTACAATTTGATTTCATTTGGTTTAATTTCTAATAATTAAATACACAATTATAGTTTTTGGTTTTGTTGAGTTTAACTCCCTATGTGCTGTTACTGTCAAAAATCTTCTGTAGCTTTATTAGATATAACATCGGATAACTGTATTCTGAACTTTTATGTTTGGCCTTGTTGTATTTAAACTCATATGACTACATTCTGGGCTGTTTATCTGCCCTTGTTGGAATTAACCTCAAATAACTGCATTTTGGGCTTTTTGTCTGTCTTTATTGGAATTAGCCTCATGTAGCTATATCCTGGGCTGTTTGTCTGGCCTTGTTGGAATTAACGTTATATAACTACACTCTGGGCCATTTGTCCGGCCTTGTTAAATTTAACCTCATGTGACTATATTCTGTGTTTTTTGTCTGCCCTTGTTGGAATTAACCTTATATAACTACATACTGGGCTGTTTGTCTGGCCTTGTTGGAATTAACGTTATATAACTACATTCTGGGCCATTTGTCTGCCCTTGT